CGGGTTCCTCGGGTTCAGTGCCCCCGGTTGCCCCAAACAATGCCAAGCAATGCCAAGCATTACCAACCCATGTCAAGCAATGCCAAGCAATGCCCAACAATGCGAAGCAACGCCAAGCAATACCAAACAATGCCAAGCGGTGCCAAGCAATGCCAAACCATGCCAAGCAACGCCAAGCGATGCGCCCAACCATGCGCCCGTGAAATAAGCTTTCCCCTAGTTGGCGTCGCGCGGGTCTCATTTTCTACCGACGACACGAAAGCAACGGGTGAAAACAACCTTGTCCATTGCGTTGTGGTTACCACGAGCTGGGACGCCGTCGGACACCTCGCCCACAGCACCGCGGCCCTGCACACGACATGCACATAGCAATGCCCCGGATCCGTTTTGGACGGTCCCTGGGCCCGCAAGCGGTCCCCGCAGGCTGAGAAAGGCAGAGCACCTCCTCGAAACCAGGGCGTCGAGCCTCGCCCCCCCCATCCCTGCAGGCCGGAGCCCGGTGCCGGGCCACCTCGGACACCCAGCTGACTCCAAAGTGCTCGGGACTTCCGCAACAAGCGCGGGGGGGGAAAAGGAACACTAACCTCACAAAAAGCCCCGAGTTGACCCCCGTCGCGGCCAGCGGCCGCGCGAGGTTGAGGGGCCCAGTGAGACACAAATAAATCGACACGGGTTTCTGGATTTCCAATCTCTTCTCCATACTTCCAATGCTTCCCTGCTTTCCCCTCATAATTCCACGAAGAAAAGCGATGATTCATTTTTGTTTATGTATTTCTCCTTCCTGCCCTTGGTGAGAGGCCGGCCCCCGTCGGGGGGGGCACCCCCTCCCAGCTATCACGGAGCGCAGAATGCCCGGCTACGGCAGGTTCGTGCCGGGACGACCCCAGCGCTGGCCTGACGTCGTGTGGACCGTTCAGCCCTGAACGGTCGGCGGTTCTCCGACCGCCAGAGCATTCCATCGGCCGACTCTGGGCCGCTGGCGGCGTTCAGCCTCGAACGCCCGCGGCGGGATCGCCGCCGCGTCGGCACGACGCGAACCTGGCCGCACCCCAAGGCGACTGCCCGGGAGAGGGGGATGCGGGGATGGCCGCCAGCCGCGGCGGGCACTCGCGGCCTCGCGCGGGTGCTCGGGGGCCCCAGCGCTTGCAACGAATTGGCTGCGAGGGGAGGAGGGGCTCGTGGGAGGCACTGGTGCTTGCCCTGTGGCCCCAGGCTCGTGGCGCTCTGGGGGAGGGGGGGGGTGCGAGGTGAGCACCAGGGGACGATGTGCGATGGGGGGGAGGGGGACGAGGTGCTCTGGGGTGGGCGAGGTGCTCTGGCGGGGGAAGGGGGGCAAGGGGGAAGAGAGCGAAATGGAGAGAGACAGAGAGAGAGAGAGAGATGGATAGAGAGAAAGGACGAGAGAAAGCGAGAGAGAGAGAGAGAGAGAGACAGAAATAGCTGGCGGGGCAGGGCCCAAGGAAGGTGGGCAAGCGAGTGGCGTGCCGCCTCGGCTCACCCGGTGGCCGCGCTACGCGCCGCCGCTGCTGCCCGGCGGCATCAGGTCGAGGTGGAAGCCGTCCGCGGCGCCCCCCGCGGCTCGCGGCTCCTTCATCGCCGTCTCTGGCGCGGCGGCGGCTGGCAGCCGCAGGACCCGCGGCTGGGCCGACAGCAGCTCCTCGAGCTCTCCGGCAGCGGCGCCGGCGGCTGGGCGGTGCCCTCCGCCGGGGGGGTCGGCGCCGCCCGTGTCGTTGGCGAAGAGGAGGTTGAGCGCGTTGTAGCTGTCCTCTAGCGAGGTTCTCAGCACGTCGTCCCTCGGCGGGGGCGGCGAGCCTTCCCCCGAGGGCGCAGGCTGCCCGTGGAGGGGGAACGTCGGCACCCTCTGAGGGGTCCGTGCCGCCGCGCCTCTGCCAGCGCTGGCAGCAGCGGGCGCGGGCGCCGGCGCTGCTGGCGGCGGCGCCGCTGGCGTGCCAGGGGCCTCGAGGCCGCCGAGGCGCGTCTGCATGGGCGTGGTCGACCGCGGCAGGTCTTCCCCGGACGCCGTGGGGCCGGCCAGCCACGCTCCGCACCGCGCCGAGGCGTCGCTCTCGGGATGCCCTCCGGCGGCGCTGCCGAGGCAGCCCGCGCTGCTGTGGCGCCGGGCCAGAGGCCTCGGCGACGCGCCGCAGGCCTCCTGCTCGGTCTCGCACGCCCGCCCAGCGCGCTCCGCCGGCCAGGCGGCGGTCTCCCGGGCGAGGCGGCGCGAGGGGTAGCGCATCGCCGCCTCCTCCAGGCGCCGCACGCGGTCGCGGAGCTGCTCCACGCGCCCGTGCGCCTGCCGGAGCTTCTCCCCAGTGCGCACGGCCTCGAGGTGGCACCGCTCACGCGCGCGGCGCTCCTCGGCGACCTCGGACCGCGCCCTCTCCAGCGCCACCTCTGCGCCGCCGAGCTTCCGCCGGCACTCCGCGAGCTGCGGCGCGCCGCGGTCGGCCCGCCGGCGGTTCTCGCCGAGCTCGGCGGCGAGGCGGTCGCGGGCTGCGAGGGCCTCGTCGCGCTCCGAGGCGGCGGCGTGCAGGGCGAGGCGAAGCTCCTCCTCGGCCGAGCCGCGGGCGGCGTGCTCGCGGCCGAGCTTCTCCAGGTTCGCGCGCGCGCGGGACAGCTCCTGCTCGAGCTCGGCGGCGCGTTGGCGCGAAGCCTCGGCCAGCGCGTCCCGGGCGCGCAACTCGCCCCGGATCTCGCCGAGCTCGGCGGCGGACCTCGCCTCCGCCGCCTCCGCGCGCGCCGCGTCCAGGCGGTCGCCCTGCTTCTGCTGCAGCTCCTGGTCGAGGCGCAGCTGCAGCTCCCGGTTCTGCCGCGCCAGCCTCTCCGCGGTGGCCTCGAGGCCCTGCGCGTCGCACAACCTCCTCTCCGCGCTCTCCGCCCTCCTCGCGTCCCTCTGCCCCTGCCGGCGCACCGCCGCCAGCCGCGCGTCCCGCGAGCGGGCCTCCTTTTCGCCTCGGCCCGCCGACAGCGCCGCCGCCCTCTCGCCGTTGCGCGCCGCCGACGCCGCACGCAAGGCCTTGCGCATCTCGTCCTGCAGGCCCCGGCTGCGGACCTCCGCCTCCTCGCGCTCGCGCGCCGCCGTGCTGGCCTTGCCCTCCAACTCCGCGGCCGTCCTGCGGCACCTGGCCAGGTTCTGCCGGCAAGTCACCAGCTCGTCGTACACCGCCCTGTGCTGCGAGAGGAGGCCCGAGTGCTCCCGGCGCAGCGCGGACAGCTCCTCGCCCTGCCGCAGCAGTGCCTCGCCGCCCGCCGCGCCGCTGGCGGGCCTCGCGGGGCTGGCGCCCTGGCTGCTGGCCTTCAACTCGCGGAGCTCCTCCTGGAGGGCGCTCCGCTCCTCCTCCAGCTGCCTGCGCGCGGCCGACCACTGCAAGGCCTCCGACTGCAGCCGAGCCTCCAGCTGCCTCGCCTCTGCCTGGGCGCCCTCCCGCGCGAGCGACTCTTGCCGCAGCCTCGAGATGAGCGAGGAGAACTTGGCGCACAGGAACTCCACGCCCTCCTTGCCCGACGGCGGCGCCTCCAGCTCCATTGCCCCCGCCAGTGTCCCCGACACCGCGCGGCTCTCCATCGCTACCGCCTGCAAAAAGGCATGTTCGCCGTCCCGCGCGCGGACCTCCCCACAACCCCAAAGGAGGTCCGCGAACGTGCCGGCTGATCTTGAGCCCAAACGGCCTCGGACGGGACGGAAGGAGACGGATGAGGGACACAATGATGATGATGATGATGATGATGATGATGATGATGATGATGATGATGATGATGATGATGATGATGATGATGATGATGATGATGATGATGATGATGATGAAGATGCTGCTGCTGCTGCTGCTGATGATGATGATGCTGACGATGATGCTGCTGATGCTGATGATGCTGATGATGGTGGTGATGATGATGAGGACGATGACGAGGACGATGACAATGACGATGACGTTGATGAGGATCCTGATGAGGATGATGATGCTGATGCTACTGCTGATGATGCTGATACTGATGATGATAATGCTGCTGCCAATGATGATAATGATGGTGATGATGGTGATGGTGATGGTGATGCTGATGATGCTGCTGCTGATGATGACGAGGCTGTTGCTGATGATGATGGTGAGGAAGAGGAGGAGGAGGAGGAGGAGGAGGAGGAGGAGGAGGAGGAGGAGGAGGAGGAGGAGGAGGAGGAAGGGGAAGATGAGGAGGAGGATCTTCCGGTAACACTGATCGATGCGGTGCCACGGGCGAGGGATCCCGGCGCGCATCTCGGCGGCGCACCGAGGGGAGAAGTGAGGAGGGGGCGGGCCTTCTTGGGAGGCTCGGAGGGCCTCCCGCCTGCTAAGCAACTGTCCGAGGTTTTTCAAGGCCGCGGGGGACCTCCCGGGAGGCCACGGGGCTTCCGAGAAGCCCCGCCGCCTTCTGAGCGGGCCTGCCCCCTCTCCACTTCCGCCCTCGACGCGCGGCCGAGTATCTGCAGATGCTGCTACAACTACGTCTGCCCCTGCCACCGCTGCAGTCGCTGCTGCTGCTGCAGATGGGACTGAAGCCCACACTCAATGGAGAATCCCTTCGGGCAAGCACCAGACACGGAACAAGCCCTGCTCCGTTGCCGCCGCTCGCGGCACCTCCCGAATTCCCGACAGGAATATGTGCTTCATCAACCGCGCCCTGGCTGCAAGAGCGGTGCGGTGAGGGTGGACAAGACAGCTCAACAGCAAGGAAACTCTGAACGTCACCTGAGCGACGACAAGCAGCGGGTCTACACAAGAAGCCATAACGATCTTACGCCGCGGCTTACGCGGGCCGTCAAGTGGCACAAAACACGGAGAAGAAGGCGCTGACGCGCGACCGTACGGGGTAACCTTATGCGTGACTGCCCGCGCAGTCAACTCCGTTTTCTTCTTCGCTCATCTGTTCGAGCATTCCTGCGCAGTGGAGACGTCGTCCTCAGCCCCCTTCTTGACGGAGGAGGGCGAAACCCAGCTGAGAGAGTGGAAGGGGCCCTGCAGGCGCGCCTGTCTTCGGCGCCGTCGCTCGACTGGAGCAGCTGCAAGTCGGGCACCAGCAGCGCCTCCAGGGGAAGGCGCCCGTGCAGAAAGGCCCCCGCTCCAAGGTGTCAACAGCGTGCTACTGGCGACGCAAGTAAGAGCAGTTCTGGTGCAGAAAGCGAGGCTGCTCCGCGGAGCCCTGCGCCCGACGAAGTATTTCGCCAGAGGATCCGCACACACCCTATCAGGAATAGCTCTGCCCGCCCGCCGAACAGTAGCCCCAACAAAGCGCCTTCATGGCAGCAGAGGTGAAGAGGCGGGTCGGAGAGTAGGAGGTCGGTGAGTGGAAACGTGCATCCCCAGGTGTTCCTAAAAGGTCCTGGGCGTGACAAAAGGGTGAGAGCACGGCCGTGCGCACCGTAATGCACGTGCTGCACGGGGTCGTGGCCATGTGACAGGGGTGAGAGCACGACCATGCTCACTGCAATGCTTGTTTCACGAGGGATCCTGGCCGTGTGGCAAGGGCGAGAACACGGCCACGTGCACCGTGGTGTAGGTTTTGCTAGGGCTCGTGGCCGTGTGGCAGGGGCGGGAGCACGGCACCGCAGTGCTTGTTCTACCAAAGATCGTGGCCGTGTGACAGTGGTGAGAACACGGCCATGTGCACCGTACTGCAGTTTTTGATCGGGGGTCGTGGCCTTCTGGAACGAGCATGTAGCTGGCATTGAGGCCAGATCACGCTTCCTGAATCAGTTGTGAGGGAGTCTCAGGCGAAACGGCTGCCACATCGGCTGTATGACCAAATGTCCTGGGGCTCTCCGTCCCCCCTGTGGGAGTCTTCTGCGTTCCATTAGTTTTCTCTACTCGAACCCTCTAGCGAAATGCTAGTTGAGAAACAGGTTGGAGAATTCTTGACGCTATCCATAAAGCATGTCCTTGAGAGTTAGTTTGATAAGACGGTTGCAGAAACAGAGGAGGACGAGGAGAAACAGGAGGAGCAGGAGGAGGGGGAAGGCGGTGCACGGGGAGGATGAGGATGATGACGCTGCTGCTTCTGATGATGACGATGATCATGACGATGATGATGATGATGATGATGATGATGATGATGATGATGATGATGATGATGATGATGATGATGATGATGATGCTAATGATAAGGATGATGATGCTGATGATGACGATGACGATGATGATGGTGGTGGTGGTGATGCTAATAATGACGATGATGATGACGATTATGATGATGACGATGCCGATTATGATGATGACGATGACGATGATGATGATGATGATGATGATGATGATGATGATGATGATGATGATGATGATGATGACGATGGTGATGGTGATGATGATGAGGAAGAGCGGAGGAGGAGGAGGAAGGTGCGAGGAGGAGAAGGAGGATGCGGGAGAGGCCTTCGCGGATCTATGGTTGTGAGGGCCGTTGCCAGGGCCGCCCCCCGCCCCCCCCGCTCAGCTTCCGTCCCTGCTACTAGTCACGCTTCGCTCGGGCACCATCTGGGTCTGGCTAGGGTAACCAATTTCCACACAGTACCAACGTAAATCGTGACGTCACTGGCCCCGTCCTATCCCCCGTAACGCACGTTGTCGCCAGAGGATTCAATTACCCCAACAAAGCGCCCTAAGAGCAGCAAAGATGAAGAGGCGGGCTCAGGAGCAGGAGGTCGGCTAAAGTCGGCTAAAAGAACATGGGTGAGAACACGGCCCTGTGCAACTTACGTCGGGACCAAACATGTAGCCGGCATGCAGGCGAGACCACGACTCCGTAATACAATGTGAAGAAATCAACGGCGAAACGGCTGCCGCACCGGCTGCCGGAGTGGGCAGTCTCGGGCTCCTGGTCTCCCCTGTGGGTTGGCTGTATGGGGACAAGGGTCAAAGCACGGCCTCGTGCACCGTAATGTAGTTTTTGACACGGGATCGTGGCCGTCCAGAACAAACATGCACCCTGGACTTCAGTCGAGAGCACGACTCCTAAACCTGAAAAATTGTGAAGACGTCTGAAGCGAAACGGTTGCCGCATCGGCTGCTGGACCAAACGTCCAGGGGCTCTCCGTCCCTCCTGTGGAACTCTTCTGCGGTCTTCTTCTACCTCTATTCGAACCCTCTGGCGAATCGCGGTTCGGGAACAACACGTTTGGACATCCGACGTCACAATTCTGTCGTGACGTGGGCCCCCTAACCTCTCGACCCCTCACTCGGCAATTGCTTTTGCATCCTGGGGTCTTTTCTTGTCGGCCCGGGGCCCAGACACGGCCCCCAGTTCCCGAAAACGTTGAACAACCCGCCGTCGCGATCTTTCCGTATGCCAGGAGGTCTGGACGCCTCTTCCTCAAAACTGGTTCACGGACCTGTCCTGGGCAGGTGCTCTAGCCCGAACCGCGAGGCGCATCCAGCACTGGCGACGAGCCTCTTGAGGGGCCAGATATCGCCCTGACCGCCCAGAGCCCCTTCCAAATATCCGACGATGGGACTTCTGGTCCGTTGAGGGGGCGGCAATTTTTCATCCCGGATCCCTCTCCTGGTCCCACAATCCCAAAACGGGCTCTGGGCGAATCCGTCGATCTTC